TATGTTTGTCATGGGCGTCAACCATGAGAAATATGACAATTCCCTTAAAGTTGTCAGGTAAGGATGTACATTTGTATGAAAAACATTAAATTGATGACCGTGTGTGTGACCAGAAGGAGCAGCCTTTAGTAAAATTAATTTTAGATTATATAAAATTTAAACTAAAATATCAACTTACACTTGTTCTAAATTCCAATCAGAATTCTTGATTTTACATTCGTTGCTTGCATGTTTTGGTTATAAATGTTCTGGACACTGTTTGGGTTTGTAATTTTACTTCATCAATTTAAACTTGATTTACTTGTACAACACAAGTTACATTTGCATTACATATACAAATACTTTATGAACTTATGACATTTTAAATTCAAAAGTCAAGTACTTTATTATTTTATTTTTTTGAATGACTGGTGTTTATCTATTTTGCTTGTGTTAATATTTATTGCTTTGGGCATTTTTATTAAATACTTTGGGCTTTTTTTTTTCTGTTAAAGTTGCATAAATGCTTGGGTATTATAAGTGTATACAGAAGTTAACATTTGAAGTGACTCAAAGTTAGTTAAAGTGGTCTTAAGACAACAACGGGTATTGTTTTAAGACAACTGATGAAAGGTTTTGATGGCGTGCCTGTGTGCATACTGTTATGCTGCAGAGATATGCAATAATGGATAATATCCTGTAGGGGGTGTACTAAAGCAAACAGTTGAACTCAAGCATGTTAAACCCAAACATGTCTCTTCCACTTGAATAAAGTCCCTGCTTTTCATCAAAATGATTCCCTTTTTGTGACTGACACACATCCCTGTCTGTGTTTACTAGCAATGCCTCCTGCACCACCAACTGCTTGGCTCCCTTGGCCAAGGTCATCCATGATAACTTTGTCATCATTGAAGGTCTTATGGTAAGATTAAACCGCCTTTCCAATCTCGCCAAAAAGCCTTTTGACCTAAAAGTGATTTGAAACCTGACATGCGTCAATTTATTGTTCCACTTCTCCTTATCAAGCCCTACACTTGGTTCTTATTTAAGTGCATCAGTTGATACAAACAAACGAGATGCACGTAGAGCTTTGGTTTTATAATCTTTCTCGTAACGTTAACCATCTCCCTCTTCCCCTTTTTCAGAGCACCGTTCATGCTATCACAGCCACACAGAAGACAGTGGATGGGCCCTCAGGAAAGCTGTGGAGGGATGGCCGCGGTGCCAGCCAGAACATTATCCCAGCCTCCACTGGGGCTGCCAAGGCTGTGGGCAAAGTCATTCCTGAGCTCAATGGGTCAGTAATGCATCTGTTGGATTGTAGTTCCATTAATTTCCCAGAGTTGTTTTAAATTCGATTTCCACGAAAGTGCTCAGCGTGCCATTTTAAAGGTCAGAGTTTAAGTGGTTTCAGGATGCACTGTGATTCATTAGTCAACATTTAAAGTGGGTCAAAAAAAGTTCAGTTTTCCCAAGACCAGAATGCATTTTGGTTTTAGGATAACTTTGATGAAAGGTTTTGATCTACTTCAAATGTTGACTACTGTATCTACTCAATTTACCACACCTAAGTTACTTTTGGAATGTTCTGCTTGGGGGAACTTTAGGACTAGTTTCGTTTTTGCTTCCCCTTTCTGTTGTCCAAACATACTCTGATGCTTGTTGCTCATTTCAGCAAGCTTACTGGTATGGCCTTCCGTGTCCCCACCCCCAATGTGTCTGTGGTGGATCTGACGGTCCGTCTTGAGAAACCTGTGAGTTTATTTCCAGACCTGCATAAAGTGGCTTCAGTTGAATGAACTCCTAAAGCAGGACTGATTCATTCGGTGTACCTCTGGGTGCAGTGTAGGTGACTTGACTGACCTGTTGGCTTTTTCATCTCTCTTCTGCCGACTGCAGGCTAAGTATGATGATATCAAGAAAGTGGTTAAGGCTGCAGCTGATGGACCCATGAAAGGCATTCTGGGATACACCGAGGACCAGGTATGCACATCGAGTTATGTCAGTGTTGTGACCAGGGTTTTTCAGCATTGTTTTATAACTTCCTGCTGTGTGCAGGTGGCATCCACTGACTTCAACGGGGATGTGCGTTCATCCATCTTTGATGCCGGTGCTGGCATTGCCCTCAACGATCACTTTGTCAAGCTGGTCACATGGTAAGATGCTGCTTCCCCACCCCAATGTCACAACTCCTGTGTCGTCTAGAATTCAGAGCTTCCCCTTGTAAATGACTTCACTTGGTCATTCGTTTGCTTAACTCGAACTACAATATTTCCCACTCCACTTGAAAGACACAAGAAGGTTTTGGAGACTCTTGGCTTGTGTAGTTTTGGAATGACACCAATTCCTTCTCTTCCTTCCTATAGGTATGACAATGAGTTTGGCTACAGCAACCGTGTATGTGACCTGATGGCACACATGGCCTCCAAGGAGTAAATGTGATCCCCTTTTTGTTGTGGTTTTGATGCGCGACCCACCGTTCTCCATCTGGTTGGATGTTTGCACCACATGCCTGGAAGGAAATTACATGATTTGAAGACCAATGTTATTTTTATATGGAAATACTCTGTTCTGTTTTGTGTGAGGTTTAAAATGGATGTTGACTTCAAAAGGCTTTTCGGTCTGCTAACCTTTGACAGAATAAAGTCCTCTGTTTGTGAGAAATTTAAAGTATGCGTTTTGTTTTTATCTAGATCTAGTGACTTATTTGGGTCGGACTACTCTTCTTAAAATTGGAAATTCTTAAGGCAAACCAGTGTTTTGATTAGTTTCCATAGTATGTTGATGTCATTGTACAACTTAATTCAGTTTAGGTTCAATTCATTGTCCGTGCTGTTGAATTGATTAATATTATTGAATACTAATTTTCATGTGCACTATTCTAATTATTTTAGAAGTGGTGTGGTTAATGTGTGCACTGAAATGTTCCACAAAGCAAAAGTTGATTTCAAATGAGTTCTTAACTGTTGGACACTTCATGCACTTAACTGTCAATGCTTACGAATAAGTACAGTTATGCATCACTAGTTTCAGGACTGCAGTGCCAAACTGGAAGTTATTGGGGTGGAGCAGTAAATTAGGGTGGAGATTCTATCCGGTGGAGTAGGGCTGTTAAGTTAGTGTTGTATGGAAACATAACCAAATATGAAATTCATACACTAGAGAAGTAGCAAACACAATGCATAGTGTAAGTGCATATTGTAGATAGTTGGTTTACACTGAATTTCAACACAACCTGCACTTAGTGTGACTTGTGTTTTTGGCATAAGCTTGTCTAAAAAAAAATGATCGTGTGCTTGATAGTCACTGTATCAGTGCTTAAGGAGGAAAACGTTTGAGGGCTGTTTTAACCAAAAGCTATAAAGTTAATTCTTTAATATAGTTCCATGAAAGTAGGGAAGCCTGCACCACAGCTGGGTTTTTTTCCCCAGCTGATGAATGGCAAAAAATTGCCACCAATCAGAACTCGGTAAAAGAACTCCAGTTGCAGGCAACAAAAATTCAGCCTATGCTTACAAAATGTTATAATTTGTTGGTGTGAAAGATAGTTATCTCTATTGGTGTGAACCGCTTTACAGTAATTATTGGAAAAGTCTACTGAGATTTCCATGCATTGTCCTATAAAAACTCAAATCTAGATAATGGAGTTCTGGGAACGTATGAATTACCCAGAGACAGGGCAAGTTTTAAACCACTTGTGTGCTGCTGTAAATTCAAACATTAATAAGGTTTATAAATATATAGGGTGAAACATGAAAAAAAAAACTGGATTCTGTTGTGTTAACCCCCTATTTTAATTGTGAAAAGCCCTAATTAGCCAAATGATGTCACTGTTCATGAGAATATGAGAATACTTTGATAGTCCACTTTAGACATTCTACCATAAGTAACTTTGCAACTACTTGTCAACTACCAGTCATATTAGACTATCTGTGGAATATCTGCTAACACTTTATTTTGATGGTCCGCCAATAGAGATTCTACCGACTAAGAAACTTTGCAAGTACATGTCAACTTATTCTGCTATCCGTAACCTGAAAGTCTACTTTTCTAATGAAAGTTAGTTGACATGCAGTTGTCAAGTCACTTATAGTTGGTAGCATGTCTACATAAAGTGGACTATCAAAATAAAGTGCAACCAAATATGATTTGATCACCGGGAAAGTTTCTGTTAGACATGATCTGCTTTTCAGTTAAATACAGTTTTCAGTTAAATACAGTGTCCCTTTGAAACCGCTCTCATGCACTCATCTAAGCACTCTGTTGCATTCTCTTTTGCTCCCTGACTCACTCTTTTAGTTCAATACTCAGTCCATTTGTGGATCGGGGGTAGTTTTCCATGAATAATGCACCCTGACATAGACATGCCATTATTTCACCTGATGGGCCTTTATGAAATATGTCTATCAATGTTATTGATGTGCAAGTCAGAAGACCAATGGACATATTTCAACATTAATGCAATGCATTAGCAAGGCACAGATTTACCAATGATGAACATGGTGCTTTAGGCGAAAAAAAAGTATATAGACTTTATCACTCAAAAGTGCATAAAGATAGAGTTGACATTTTCTAAAATAATGCAATCTTAAAATGTCGTTTATGACGTTAGATTCCAAACTATCATCTTATAACAAAATCAATGTTGCATATGACTCATGGTTTAGCCTTAAAACATTAGATTTATGGCACAGCTTGTCCTTGCGCATTTACTGTATGTGTGTTTATGCATGCACTTTAAAGCTGTTAAATTCTGTTGATAAGAATGAGGATGGAGGATTAAGAGACTTGAGTTGTTTAGTTCAGATAGCGGTTGCACATTTACTCTTCCGTATACAACACTGACTTCCACCTCTCTGTCTTAAACACAGATTATGCCACTGTGCTTTATTAATTTTATAGCACCAACGAGTGCTGTCAGCTAAACCATTTGTTCATCTCACTAAAACATCATTTACAGCTCCCGTTGTCTATAAAAACTAACTTTGACTGTCCTCTAATCACAGAGGTGAAGTGTTAGGAGTGCAAAAAAGGGATGAGAGGAAGGTAGAGGTGTGCATAAAGAGGGAAGTGGGAGGTCAAAAGGATGGGAGGATGGGTTAGTGTGCATGAATCCTGATGGTCCTCTGGCAGATTGACCAAAGCCGAATTGATTCGCTCCTCCCGTATAAACGGAGAGCAACAGGAACAAAAGAGGCTTAAGGCTGAAAAGCAAGCATTTCACTTTGAGATTAAGAGACAGTGGCTGACTGAAAAGACGGAGAGATAAACACAGAAGAGGTGGACTGACAGTGGAAAGTGAGTGAAAAACTTTCACTTTGTTCTTTGCTCAGATGTGCCTCTGTGGCAATATTTAATTTGACACTCTCATTTAAAGCTGAATTGTACTTACGCAGATGTATTTTTTTCTCATATAAGTTGGAATTTCATGTAAGTCCAACATTTTATAGTTGAATGGATTTTTTTTCTGGGTGTCGCAGCATTATTATGTCTCAGTCTGTCTCTTTTTTTAGTAGTTAATGTCTAAGAGAGTGAATGGCTCGTGGATGGGGTCTATCTCTGTCCCGTCCTCCATCCCTCATGCCTTCCACTCACAGCTCTCTTCGGCCGCTGACCTCAGCATAGCCATCTTACTCATCATCACAGGTCAGTTATTAGTCTTTTATTAAATTATTATTGTTTAATATATAGTGGAGTTCAGTGGGGTCCAAAATTAGAAAGACCACTACTGATTAAGAGATGCATTATTAAGTAGTAAAACTCAACATATATCAAGTTGTTTTTTGGGGGGGTCTGACATGGGAGTCTGCTCTGTTTATTCAGTCAACACTTGAACTGCAATAAGAACCTATGCAATCTAAAGACACTTGTCCTCTACAATCAATACACTTCTGTGCTGATTTGCACAATAAATACAACTGCTATTACAGAGTCATTTAAAAACTGCAGTGCAGCAGGAGGTTCTCATATGCATTGGTGTGTTTGACCAAATCGATATTTTTAGCTCCTTGCAAAAAAAAAAAAGATCTTGGATATAGAGCATAAATTGCTCTAAAAAAATAAATAAATAAAACAAACAAACACTGGTTCATTGGTTGACTATAAGTGACCTTACTATTAAATTACATTTAGGCTACTGTCATTTTTAATGGGATAATACATGTAATGTAATACAGTAAGAGTTATAAATATATTAAAACTCTTACTGTAATAAAGTACAGGTATTGCCCCATTAAAAATTACAACGCATGTAATCTGCAGTAAGTTTTTAAACGTTAAAAAAGAAATAGGCCTACTGTGTAATTTATGGTGAAATATATATTGTTTTCAACAAAACTAAAAACTTAAGCAATCAGTCAATACTTTTAGCTCACTTACAATATTTTTAAGCGTACTGCAAAGAATGCTTAAAAAACTGTTATTTGAATGACTACAATTTATCTTGCTACTTAAAATACATATACATTTTGCTTTTAAAAGCAATGCAAAATTACATGCATTGTCATATATTTTTAATATTAAAATTTTCCATTTAACATTTGATTTATAGTGATATACAGTGGCCAAAATGACTAGAACACTAGTACTTTCACCAGCTAAAAATGCTTTTAAGTCAATTATTTCTATCTTTTTACATTTCCAAACATTAATTTTGCCATTAAGATTTTTGTTTGCACAAGGAGTCTGACAGCAGCCAGTGCTGCACACAGAGATCTGATCTCACCATCATCCAGTCTGTCTGGAATGACATGAAGAAACAGAACAAACTGAGACAGACTAAACCCAGAAGAACTGTGACAACGTCTCAAAGACGCTTCAAGAAACCTACCTGCAAAGCTACCTGAAAAACTATGTGCAAGTAGGCAAAAGCTGCTTTAAAGGCAAAGAATATGGTCATACCAAATGTTGATTTAATGTAGTTAATAGAAGTTAATTGATAAAGAAGATCTATTTAGAGCCTAAAACTTTTAACAGTACTGTATAGCTTTGCAGGTAGGTTTCTTGAAGCATGTTAGAGACGTTGCCACAGTTCTTCTGGATTTAGTCTGTCTATTATCTATTATATATAATTTAACACTTTTTAAGTAAATGCAAAAGTGAGTAACACTGTCTATATTTATATTAGCCATTCATTAAAAAAAATAATAATACAATTTTTGGTCATGTTAGATGACGCTTGGCACTATGATCTGTATCTCTCTCTCTCTGTCTGTCGCAGGTGTGGTGTCGGTGGTTGGGAATGGGCTGGTGTTGTTGGTTTGCGGACAGAGGAGAAAGAAGCTCAGAGCTCACGAGCTGATGACCATCAATCTGTCCGTTTGTGATTTTGGCTACAGCCTGCTGGGGGCGCCATGTATCATCACCTCAAGGTACCACCACTGACTGCACTGACTGCAACTGGTTTGGAATGGATAGCGTATTTACTCATAGCGTGATTCTTAACATGTATTTTGAAAGGTTGTACTAAGTTTGCTTGGTATGCCAGTGTATACATTATAAACTATAAAAGCTCTCTTAAAGCCTGCATTAGTCTATGCCACTGCATGCATCAATCGCTCTTGTGATTATCGCTGCATATCATCTGGAGTTTGTGAATTGTTTGTCAAGACCAGAGGATTGTGTCGGTTAAGAAGATCGACAGTCTAAGCAGTATAAGACAGTATAAGCCATTGATAATGATATTACATAACGTAGAACATAAACACAGGGTATATTAGAGATCTGATTTGTCTTTAGAGAGGATTTAAAATGTAACAGGCATTTGGTCAAAATAGTTTAGATGTGCTCTTGAATCAATTTAGCTTTATTTATTAATTTTTTTAATTAATGTGCTTGTACTACTCTGAATGACAGAAATAGAATTTAGTGGAAAAAAGAAAACAAAAATCCTTTGAAATCTCAAGCCACTATATCTTTCACGGTATTTATTTAGAGTGCATTCTCAAGGGGCTAAAAGGGTTTCACTTTTATGTAGCTGAAAGTATTCTTTTTTACCCACAAACCACCAAAACATGCCCTCAGGTGGAGGATGATTTGTGAAGAAGAAGAAATGCACTTGTGAAGAAAAACAACATAAATATCTTGGGCCTCTTACATCTTGGGTCAGAAGGTATAAAGCTATAAAAAAATCATCACACTTGGCTTTTTGGTTTCTGAACTTGTATATATATATATATATATATATATATATATAGGCCTATAAAATATGAAATTGGTAAGGTTCAGTCTTATAGAAAATAAACTCAGAAAAAACTTGAGCAGAATTTGAGCATATGTTATTTAAGTTATTTTTGGAATTGCTGTGCTCGGTATTTTGCTTCTGCTCTGAACTTTTCTCTCTCTCTCTCTCTCTCTCTCTCTCTATTTGTCTCTCTTAGTCTGTCGCATGCATGGATTTTTGGGGAAACAGGATGTATGTGGTACGGGTTTCAGGGCTTTGTTTTTGGCATTGGTTCTCTCATCACTACCTGCCTTATCTCCCTTGACCGCTGCTTCAAGATCTGTAGCTTTCAATATGGTAATTCTCCATTTTTATCCACTGAATTTTTGTTGTTTTCTTTTATTATTTTATATGCAGATGATACTTGCAAGTTAGTTAAAATATAGGCCTACCCAATCATTCATTTCCAACAGGTGTTACTGATGAAAGTACAGAATTTGGTTATTCTTGTTGGACAGATAATTAGCACTATCACTGAGGGAAATCAATTTCCCCATAATCGGATACCCCTGTGTTTCTCAAATAAGAACACATATCAAAGAAATAATATCATTGCCATAGTACATAGTATTAATATTGCTGAATAATTTTTATGATAAGTGGAATCTACATTGTAATTATATGAAATTAACGAAAACATTTTGATCAGCTTAGTCAAGAACGAGTTTCAAGTACTTTAATGAAATGAAATGAATATGCAAATGAATGAAATATGAAATATGTTTCACTGCCCAGGCTCCAGGATCTCTGCATAGAAATTAAATTAAATTAAATTAAATTAAATTAAATTAAATTAAATTAAATGTATTAATTTATTTTAAAAAACTGCCTGCTTTAAAATCAGACATAAAAAAAACTTTTTAAATCTCAAAATCTTTTTGTTGTAAATTTCTCACAAAATCATTCAACAGCACTTATGTTTTCTCAGGCAAAGAGAGAACAAAGCATGTGCTGAGAAAATGAGATCACTCAAGCTGGTTTGTGATTGAAGAAATTTATTACATTATACAATTTGCAGAATTACAGTTTGCCTCCCTACTTGAAAGTATAGTATGTCATTGCACAAGATCAGAGATAATAGTTGTCATTTATGCATATCCAGTGCACAACTTCTGATGGACTGCATATCTTTCTCTCAGCTAACAGAATCAGGCTGTGACAATCGATATAATAATACCCGGCTAGTACATTTCAGTCCTATCCAGCAACTATGGAGCCATCAAGTAAACTTTCAGATGTTTACTAATGTACTTGTTCCTTTGTCTCAGGTCAGTGGATTGAGAGAAAACATGCCTCTCTGTCTGTGGCTCTGGTGTGGATCTATACATTATTCTGGGCCTCACTACCTGTGTTTGGCTTTGGTAGTTACGGCCCGGAACCGTTTGGAACCAGCTGCACCATAAACTGGTAATGAACCGTAACCATTAGTAACACTTGTAAATGAGTCGCTAACCAATTCCCCAAAGATTAGTTGGTGTTTTCAGAATGCATTCTCAAGGGACAAATATAGCGTTCACTTTCAAACAGCTGAATGTTATTTTACCCACAAACCACTGGAACATCCAAACATCACAGATGTTGATGTGTTAATGCATTGTTTCCTGTGGCTTCAGGTGGAGAATGAAGTCTTCACTCAAGGATAGAGTCTATATTTACCTGATCCTTTCACTCTGCTTTGGAGTTCCAACCTTCATTATCATCACTTCATACCTCGCTATACTCATCAAGGTGAGAAACATTAGAATTAATAATGATTCTGAAACACTTAAAGCCAAGACGTGTGTAAAAATCATTTTGATTTATTCTGAGGATGACGTTAACGATCAATTGTTATTGGACTGTTTAATCCTAATGTTGGCTGAAGATCTATTATGGTGAATTGAAGTGTTGCTACAGTGTTGTGTGATTTCAGGTGTATCGGTCTGGTCGTGTATTGGCTTCAATCCCTTCATCCAATGTCACTCACAACAGCAAAGATCTCCGGCTGACAAAGGTACCAGCTCTGATTGATCACCCATCATACCTTTGGAAAGGACCCACTTCTCAGGCACAATGACTTTTAACATGGGATATCTTAGGGTGTTTTCACACTTGGTCCTTTTACGGGGTCTGAGCATCGTTCGCTGGATTTGTGGCCAATATGTGAATACTCCAATTGGTCTCAGACCCTTTTAACGTGAATCAATATAAAAAAAAAAAGAACAATTAAGTAAATATGGACAAAAACCAGACTAAATTGAAAATACACATTAAAAATGAATAAAATAATCAGAATAAGACAATGGCTGCCCTGCTGTTACCTCCACACTACTATTCTTTTTTTTTTTCCTTTTTATGATTCACAAATAATTTCTTATTTCCTTTTTGTTTCATTGCAGATAGCAGCAGTGGTGTGTTCCTCATTTCTGATTGCCTGGACTCCCTATGCGATCGTTTCGCTCTACTCCGCTCTGACTGCTAGAGAGGAGCACACTGGAGAAGACGGAGGAACCGCTCTCGTGGGTGGAATGTCAGCAGCGGGGGTCGGCCATGGCAGAGGGTTGTCTGATGTCTTTGGTTTTCCCTTCCTCATTAACTGGACCTCTTCAGAACACTTCGGGGATGCTTTTGGCTCCTGGAGGAATATGACTTCTGATCATTCCCATCATTCAGTAGGGCATCATGGATCAAGTTCAACTGTGGGTTCTGCACATGGAGGAATGAATGGACATCAATCACATCTTGTGTCCATCCTGAAGCCAGAGGTCTCACTCATTCCTGCAATTTTGGCCAAGTCACACTGCATGATAAACCCCTTCATCTACCAGATCATGAACCGTGACTTCAGGGAGGACGTCTATGATCTCTTGTGTCTGAGAGCAAAAGATGGAGAGAGGAGGAGAACAAGGAGCACAGACGGCAGTGATTCTGATGGTCAGGATCTATCTATCTATCTATCTATCTATCTATCTATCTATCTGTCTGTCTGTCTGTCTGTCTGTCTGTCTCTCTCTCTATCTGTCTGTCTATCTATTTATCTCTCTCTCTATCTGTATATCTATCTGTCTGTCTGTCTGTCTATTTATCTATCTCTCTCTCTCTATCTGTCTATCTATCTGTCTGTCTGTCTGTCTCTCTCTCTCTCTCTCTATATATGTCTGTCTGTCTGTCTATTTATCTCTCTCTGTCTATCTGTCTATCTATCTATCTATCTATCTATCTATCTGTCTGTCTGTCTGTCTCTCTCTCTCTCTCTCTCTCTCTCTCTCTCTCTATCTATCTATCTATCTATCTATCTATCTATCTAGCTATCTGTCTGTCTGTCTGTCTGTCTACCTGTCTGTCAGTACTTATATATTTTCATTAATTTTATTTATCTGTCTATATTTCTTCATGTTTCTGTCTCTGTCTCTATATATTCCACACATGCAGGGTATCGTGGAAGCGTCACTCTCTCTTATATTCACAGCTGGAGGAGAAGAAGCACACCTACCAGTCAGTCATCTGGGGAGCGTGTGAAGAAAGATTCCTCACGGAAGAGTAGAGGTAGTAGAGGGAGCCGAGGGAGTAGAGGTCAGAGAGGGTCCTGTCAGGACAGTACAGCAGTCGGGTGGGCAACCTTGGATACTACAACCTTAGATATGCAGACCAACTTAGAAAGAGAGAGATGGAAGGAGGTGGAAAGAGAGACGAAAAAAGAATTGAGTGAACCCACCTCTAACAGCTTGTTGACGGGTGAAGAGTGATGCTTGCTGTCTAAATAGACAGCAACAGCATAGTTCATAATGCAGTTAGTTAGCTCAAAATATCTGTTGTTTTAGGAAAAAAAAAAAAAAACAGTGTTTATTTTTTCCATTAGTGTCATCCAGTATGTGATTTTGCACCTATCCAGTCTCACACTGGTGCGACACATGAGGCTCTAGTTAGGATTTATTGATTTTGTCCTTTGTGTGTTTATAACTGGATCCTGTGTATTTATTTATTAATATATATTGTGTATCTAGATATTTAATGGATCTACTCATTGTATTTATGTTTTTACATATTTAGAGAGCACTATGACTATCCAGTCCAAAGTATTTCAAACAACTATTTCTGAATAAATGTGACGTGTAAATAAAGTTTACAATAATGAAACGACTTTGATGTTTACTTTCAAATAGATTTTAAAAACTTCTGCAGTTTCCAAATAGATTTTAAAAATCCTAAATCAGAAGTCCTATAAGACCCAATGAAGTACAAGGGCTATTTGTTGCAGATCTGTGACGTCAGCGTTGCTTTGTTGTCATGCTACATGAGGTAATATCTTTTTACCGTAAGTACCATTCTTGGAGAAACACACAAGGGGAAAAGCACACGGAGAGCTGTCATTCGCCTTCGAACCGTGATAGACTATATATAAAAATAATTCTGCGCAAAGTCATCTACCAAATATTATTTTGCGCCCCTGGAATATTCAAGTAAACAGACACAAACTGAGAGCTACTGCTGATATTACGGTAGTGTCCGAACTGAAGCGCTGCAGAGAGACTCAAGAGCCCAAGTGTATTCAGGTTTCCAGCCAGGGAAGAAACAAGACATTCGTTTGGACCTATTTTAAATGTATTTCGCTGATGTTAGTAGTTATAATATTCTTTGCTTGTTTGAATAGGGGCTTTGCATGCTTTCATAGTTAGTCCATATTTTGCGCTTCTATCGGTTGCTGCAGTCTCCTTCAGCGTCTTACTCAGCATTTACGCTTAAGCTGTAATACTCTTAACTCGTTACATAAGGCTTTAACGAGTTAAATGTGGACATCGCCGTGTCTTTGGGTCGCCAAACACCACCTTTGAAATCAAACCGTTAATTATTTTGAAAGTCAGACATAGCTGGTGTTCATGCCCGATCTGCAGCGCTTCAGTTTTCCGCACCATAGCATGAATTCTCCTCTCCATCAGCATCAGCAGCAGCAGCACCAACAGCATCAGAATCCAGAAGGACCCGGTCATCCCGATTCTCCCTCCGGTTTGCTCCCCGAGGCTGCTGTCCTCGGAGCTCCTGACCCATCCTCGTTTTTCCTCGGAGAACAACCCGGCCCACAAACCGCACTTGACCTTACAGCATCCTCTTATCTGCACTTCAGTCCATCGCTCCACTGGTCCCAACCTCCTCCACCTACAGCCATGGCATTGAGGAACGACCTGGGATCCAATATAAGTGTCCTGAAGACCCTCAATCTGCGGTTCCGATGCTTTCTGGCTAAAGTGCATGAACTGGAGAGACGCAATAAGATATTGGAGTTACAGCTTCAGCAGGCTTTAGACAGCAATAACACGGGTGGATGCGTGGAGGACGGAAAAACCAAAGAAATTGGTGTGCAGACTGGGTTTATTGGGCCTATCGCTGTCCAGCCTGGGTCTTTGTCCTTTCAAAACACCAATAACTCTGCAAAACGACCCACTACGTTGTTTATGCCTTCTCTTATGACTGTCCTCAAGCTTGAGCCCAATAAAGCTGACGATGAGAGCACAACTGACCCAAACACTAATAGGAACCCAACCATCACGGTTAGTCTCTCAACACCCACCACCGAACCCGCCTCGGCCAACACCAACAACTCCAATAATGCTCTGCATGTGAGCAGCGTTGGCACCGGGACGTCTCCCAACCCTCTTCCTCGCTTCCTGCCGGGCACTATCTGGTCCTACAATCACACCCTTAAACTGGGAAGCGGATCAGAGACTCGGGTCACCAGTCCTGGAGTGTCGTGGGTCCACCCGGATGGCGTGGGTGTCCAGATAGACACCATCACCCCAGAGATCAGAGCACTTTACAATGTCCTGGCCAAAATCAAAAGGGAGCGGGATGAGTACAAGCGAAGGTGAATATGGGGAATATAGATGGTTTTTATGGCTAAATGTTTGTTAATGAGAAAGAGGTTTCTGTTTTGGGCCCTTATATGACAGGTCTCTGCTGCAAAACATCCTGCTTTTCAGGAGTGTTTCGAGAATCATGATGGATTTGAGACATGATTGCTACCAGTTTGAATGACCTCCTGAGATCTAGAAGCTGTTTTGTGTGTTTCTTGTTAATATATAATATAATTAGGGATGTTCAAATTTTAGTTGATACTGATAAGCTGATAATAGTTTGATGTTGTGGCTGAAAACTGATAATTAGACAATATTAATTTGGTATAAATAAAAAAATAAAAATAAAACACCAATAACTAAAATATTGTTTAAATTCTACAAGTGAATTTAGGCATCCCAACATTATCATGTACAATATGAAAAATGGTTAATCATTTTCAGATTTGCTAAAGATATAATTTAATATTGTTATTAAATTATTAGTGTTTTTGAAGATTAACATTTAGTAACTGTTAGATAATGGCAAAGGTAATGTACGCTACCGTTTAAAAGTTATCAGAATGTTTTCTAAAGGATCATGTGACAATGAAAATTGCAGTAATTGCTGCTGAAAATCCAGCTTTGTTATTAAATATTAAATATATATTCAAATAATAAACAGTTCTTAAAAATTGTAACAACATTTCACAATATTAATGTTTTTACTGTATTTTTGATCAAATAAATGCAGCCTTGGTGAGCATAAGAGACGTCTTTCAAAAACAATCAAAATATTTTCCAAACTTACTATTCTATACTAATTATTCCAGAACTGTAAATGCAAAAATAAGGGGTTAGTAGGTAATAGTTGAACAACTAAACATTGAAAATATGACATGCAAATTTGAATTCAAACCTGTAATAATAATGATGATGATGATGATGATGATGATAACAATAATATAGTAATAATAATGATGATAATAATAATAATTATAATAATGACAATAATAATGTTTAATAATATTTATGTCTAGGTTACTAATAAGCACATTTGTCATGATCATGTGAACTCTTAAAATAAAATAATAATAAAAAAAAACAAAATATCAGATGTTCTTGCTTCCATTGAAGCTGCTCTATGAATCATTTTCTAATCATGCTGGAAAAACACACACACAAATGTATGGAGTTCATGTAGCTTGAGTACTGCTGTCATTAAATACCAGATACTCCTTAAAATTAACTGAATTAGGAAATTGTCTTTGCTTGATAATTTAATTTGTAATAAAAATGTATTAAATTAGCATTTTTGCTATAGAGGATTTTTAGAGAGACTTTTAACCCCATTATATATATATATATATATTGAAATCTCAATGCCAAAGCCTTATTCCTGGATCTCAGGAGTTTAAGACACCTGCACACTGGGTTATTTCAGTATGTTCCAATGCGCTGTCTGCCCTTCTGCTGCTGAGGGTGCCTGACTCGCTCTGCCCTCTGATAACCTGTGCATCAGTCACGAACATCCCTGCTTTTAACGCAGCGCAGACTGCAGTCACTGCCTCACATGAAGTGGTTACTTTTCAAACCTGAAAAAAGCTCGACCCTGCAGGTGTTCCAGACAACAACAAAGTGGTCACGAGAGTGGAATCTGTTAAAAAAAGAGAATGAGTTGTGACTTGCAGCTTTTATGGGATAAAATAGAGCATAAATCATTTTCCTCATCTGCTGTTAATCGTGTGCAGAGACATGAAGTAGGGCCTACCTATATATTTCTAACGGCTGCTTTAGTTATTTGAATCAAACTGAGGTTATTGAATGGAGTATTGCAAAATCTATGGGATAAATGTGCTCTTAGTAGAACTGTGAAGGTGATATGAGGAGGTTTTTAGGAAGGGTGGAGACAGATGTGCGGTAACATATACCCAAGGCTTTTATTAATATCACCAAGCTAGAGCTGAACATGAGAAGCAAAAGCACGGAAGATCGTATGTACAGTATGTAGAAGATAAGAATCAGCTGGAGGGGAAATAATGGTCGTGTTTCTCATAAATGGTGGTATTCAGTCAGTCTCACAGCTCTTTATGTCCAGACCTGCAGCAGCCGGAGCGCCTGCACATTCTGCTGTCAGTCACGTACAGCAGCTTTATTTAGGGCTGAGCGGACCGTCAGTTCGCAAACTCATTACTGTCTGTTGACTCATCAGGACAGGTAAAAATCACTGTTGAAAAGCAGAAAAGTCATTTGGGTTCTCTGTCTCAAACCCTTCTGCTTCATAACAGATGTTATCGTGCATCTCTCCGTCTGACTTCTTCACCATTTGCTCTGGTTTCAGCTCTTCTCAGACTTTCTTTTCTCTATTTATTTTCTGTTTTGGCTTTCTTATTTAGTAAGCATTCTTTTGCTGTCTCATCCTCGAAAGGGTTTCTCTATCTATCTATCTATCTATCTATCTGTCTATCTGTCTATCTGTCTGTCTGTCTGTCTCTCTGTCTGTCTATCTATGATATAGCTAAAAAAATATATCTAATTTTTGCTTTTTTTAAAGAATCATAATTTCAACCACGCAGATTCAAAGTTTAGTAAACTACTATAATAATTTTGTTAAAAATGTTTTCACTAAATGAACACAGTATGTATTTATTTATATTTTCAATGTTTTTAAAAGAAGTCTTTTAAGATGACCAAGGATGCATTTTATGATTAAAAATACAGTAAATATTTTTATTGTAATTCTGTGGAATAGTATTAGAATTTAATATCACTGTTGTCTATTTTAATATATTTGAAATGTAATTTATTTCTGTGATGGCAAAGCTGAATTTTCAGCTTCCATTACTTAAATCTTTAAGTGTTCCTTCAAAAATCAATCCACTGTAATATGATTTGTTGCTTAAGAAACATTTCGTATTATTATTAGTGTTTAAAACTGTGCTGCTTCATTTTATTTTTATTTTTTTTGTGATACTTTTTTTTCAGGATTCTATAAATATAAAGTACA